CGGAGCCACCTGGGAAGAGAGAACAGGTAAAAACATAACCCTCCCCCACAGACATGGAGGGATGGGGTAGGTAGGGGATGCCCAATAGGCCCAGGAGAAACAAACAAGGAAAAAAGGGGGATAGCAGAACCACTACGTTAAGGGGAAAGCCGTCTCCTACTTCTCTCAGCCAGCCCCACAACTCAGGAGGGGAAATTTCTGCCCCCCCGGGATATATCCTTTGGTGCCTGGGCTGCGGGTCCACATGAGATGATTGGGCAACCGGAAAACCCTTGACGGCCCCGGAAGGAGATACAGCCTGTGCAGGAGTGCCCGTGTAGCCACGGACCAGCTGGCACGAGATGTGGGACTGCGGCTCCTGCTGCGAATGGCTGGACAGGAAGACTGGAAAAGAGCATGGGCTGCGGCATACCGCCCCGCCGCCTGGGTAGCAAAAGGAGTCCATAGGAGGGTGAACCAAGTCTTGCGCCCACTGAACGGTCGATCCGGTTCCCAGGAGAAGCCTCCCACTCAGGGCAAAAATGTTCAGGTGGCTGAGCTCGGTGCAGACCCCCATCATGTAAGGCCTTGGTCCTGAGGGCAGAAAGGACAATCTCGACGTTCATACTCAGACCCTGGCCGAAATCAGCACTTGGCAAACAGGTACACAAAGGTAGCCAGTACCCATGCAACTACCAAGCTGTTACCAACTGAAGCTGTTGCCAGCTAAGATGACTGCTTAGCCTGTAAAATGCCTACCTATTTATACAATCCCACCCCTTTGCCCCCAATCCTTCTCCCAACCATTCTATCTATACACTCACATGTCCCTGTCCTGTCTAGACCTTGCTTGACTCATCAGGGTCTTTTCAGACATCTTTAGTTTTTCTGTACTCCATGTGCATCTCTTTTTTTGATTACTGTCTTTTTGCTTTATTTCTTCAAGCTTTTACACTTTTTATTTAGTTACTCACATTTTTCATCTAGCATCTGCATTTGATTATTTTGGTCTGGTTTATGTTTGCGTGCATTTTTAAGTTGTATTTTCCCCCCATGGTTTATGTTTACTAGTACCTTTTGCTTATCCTCCTTGTCTTGTTTTTAAAAAGGGACACTCCAGACACCCAGATCACTTCTTCCCATTGAAGTGGTCTGGGTGCCAACTCCCACTTCCCTTAACCCTGCAAGTGTAATTAGTGCTGTTTTTATAAACTGCAATAATTACCTTGCAAGGTTAACACCTCCTCTAGTGGCTGTCTACTAGACAGCTACTAGAGGGCACTTCCTGGGTCATAGCACAGGTTTTCTGTGCTATAGCGTCGCTGGACGTCCTCACGCTGTGTGAGGACCTCCAGCGTCGCTAAATTCCCCACAGGAAAGCTCTGAAAGCATTTTCAATTATTTCCTATGGAGAGGTCTAATGCACGTGTGCGGCATTGCTGCGCATTAGATCTTCCCCGCCGGCAGGCGTGATCGGTCTCCCCCGCGGGATGACGTGACGGGGAGGACCATAGGCGGACCCAGAAGCAGCGCCGAGGGACATCGGCGCTGCCTCAGGTAAGTCACTGAAGGGGTTTGACCCCTTCAGAAACCTGGGATGGGAGGTGGGAGAGAGAGCGGACCTGTAGTGCCAGGAAAACTATTTAAATCACTTTTTTTTGTGTTGGGTATCGTCTATCTGGTGCTCTGTCTTCCTGCTCTTCACTGCTCCCTCACGCGCAGTTTAGTGATGCCGGGTGCTGGAATAGGACGTCATATTCCAACACTACAAACGGCACATACGAGGAAGCAGAGACGAGCAGGAAGGCTGAGCTCCCTCGCTGCATCCACCTTTCTCTCCTACCCAGCCGGGTAAATTTTAGCAGTGTGTACTATGCTTTAACACCAAGCATGTACTCGCTGTTTGCCAGGCCGCAAAGATGTCCATTGTGGGCCACATGCACCTGCAGACCACAAGTTTGACATGCTTGTCATACACACTGGGAAGATAGAGCAACTCTGGGGGGGGTGTATCCATCCCAGCATGCCTTGAACAAATAGAGCAGGGGATGGTTAGGGACACTTGTGGTATACACCACAGTATCCATACATTAATAATGTACTGACTGCTCTGTATAATGACTGAGTATCTATACACTGATAATATACAGAGAGACATGTTTATTATCAGTGTTAGGGATCGACCGATATTGATTTTTTAGAGCCCATACCGATACCGATAATATGGGAACTTTTAGGCCGATAGCGGATAACGTGCCGATAGTCTGTACATTTACCATTTTATTTTTTTTAATAAAGTATTGCTAAAGGTA